CTAGTGGGACAAATAATGAACCGGGAATTTTTGTTCAAAGTAGAGCCAAGCTACAAACTAACTATTTTCTTTGTAACCATACTAAGGCTTCAGTCCTGTAAAATCTTAGCCACGAGTCTAAATCTTATGTATTGGGAATTTACTTTATTTACTTTACTGGAAATGACTGATGCTTGAAGTTAAGCATACAGCTTAAAACTGAAAAGGAGTAAGGTTCACATTTCTGAGAACCAATGGGTTGAGAACACAAAAGCATTCATGAATCAAACTTGTGTTTTTTTGTTTTTAACTTTACTAGTTTTATTGCACCGTGAAATTATAAACTCGTTTTCTTATATAACATTTAGGACTACTCAATTCAATGCATCTTAACACTAAGCAAAATTCAAGAAAATATTTTTATTATAAGATACATAAAATTAAGTCAGAAAATTGAAATAGAGATGCCCATGCTGTAACCTCAAGAAACAGCATTTTTTTTGTACAGAGTTTGCAGAGGCTACGTGGTAAGACCTAAGTACCAGAGGGAAAAAAGAACTACCTATGTTTTCAAGTGGCCAATGGTCACATTTTTATAAATTCATTTTTTTTTAAACCAGCAGTTTTAACATATATTACTTTGCTCCTAGGATATATCCTAGATGCACCTCCACAAAAGCAATCCTTTAATTTCTTAAACATATTTAGTGATATTTTTAAAGTAAAACAAAGATACACACAGAGAAGTAACCGTTAGAAAAGCCAAAACCGTCCAACATGAATTCAATGCTCCTATTAATGTTACCACGTTTCTCCATAGTGGAACTTGCTCTGGATGAAGTGTTAGCTCTAAAGAAGGTAAATCTTAAAGAAAAACTTTGAGGGAAGGGAAAATCACAGGCGTGTGAGTTCCAGCAGTATTTCCTCAAGCACATCCAATCAAAATAAGATCATTCTCAGCATTGATATAGTACTTTATACTTTCAGAACATTATACAATGGTTAATTAGTCCTCAAAGAATTGTTCCAGATGTGCAAAGAGATTCAAGTTCTGTACCAACATGCAGGTAACTCAGTTGACACTAGAGCTCAGTATCTGATGATTTCTAGTCCTAACTCTTATGGATGGGGCAGTCTCAAGAAATTTCACAATATGCTATGATCTGGACAAGAACGTTAGCAGGCAAGTCCTATGGGCAAAGCAGCTCAGTAAACATGGAGGAAAGCAAAGAATGGATCTCTCCTTCACATTACAACAAACAATGAAGGGGGAAAGCAAGGCTCATATCTAGATCTAACATACGAAGGTCAAGGCGATATACCAAACCAGGACAAGTCTCCTAAACTGTCCTGTACCCGAGCCTCAAAGACCTTTGAAATAGTACAAGTTATTTAAGAAACGCTAACCTTGTAATCACTCTCCTGCCTCTTGCTTCACAGCAGATGGTAACAAGTGACAGATGCAAAGCTAGAATCTGCAGTGATAACAAATATGCAAGAGCAGCCAAGAGATTTGAGGCTTATGGGCCACGATTTTAGCCTAAGCATTTATAAGTGTTCTACGTTATGCTGACAAACGTATGAACTTCAGGGTTTCTGGTCCACATTTCCTGACTACATGGCACAGCGTAAGGCCAAGGTCTAGTTCACCTCCACGACACCATAAGGTTGGCAGTACAATATTTCTGATCCTGGCCAGGATGCCAAGCTATACCTACAGTGGGTAATTAGTTCACTGTTGCACTGTGGCACATGCAACACCCACACGCAGTCCATTTGCCTTGCAATCTGCTCAGTGAGGTCAGGAGAGGGTTGAATAGTTCTCCACAGTTTTTTCAAATGACCTTCGATACCCTTTGTGTAGCTAAGATCACGGTTCACACAGTCTCATAACAAGATGTATGCCTTAAGTTCTTATAGTGGTTGGATGCCAAAAAAGCGGGGTGCATTCTGGGACTGGTCAGGGTCAAAAGGCCCAAGTACCTGTACGCGTCTGTATTTAATACTACATGTGATCTTAATCAAACTGGGAAATAAGGTTAATTTGGCCTCTCCTCCAGGCTGAGGAATGCAGTGGCCAATAAATGATGAAGGTTGTTGCAAGATAGAATCAATACAGTTAAGTCTAGGACAAGAATGGCAAGCCTGTGACATGCCTATCTCCAGTGGCACGGACAGCCTCTGCAAGTGGCACGCAACAGACCAGAGAGGGGACAGGGAGCACAGGGGCAGATAGGGCAGGAAGTCAAAAGCAGAGTGAGAGACTGGGGAAAGGGTGCACGGCAGGAAGCAGAGAGCAGTTCAGACAAGGGAAGGAGAAGAGAGTTGCACTCGGGGATGGTGTGGAACTACTTTGTGGTACATTTGCCAAAAAGGTTAGTCCCACTGGTCTAGGATTATACTTCCTGCCTAGTCTCTCTTACACTTTGGTCCTCTTAAAACATAGTTTCCCGTTACCCTGACAGATTAACATGTTGCAGCTGACTCTCAAAATATTTAATAGGCACTGGCAGCCAATTCTAGTACCAAAAAGCATGTACACACCTCTAACCACCAAGTACTGAAATATTAATCTTCATTGGCAAACAGAGAAAGAAATCTTGTCCCAAGTGCCATGCACCTTCAGGAGATGCCAAATCCTTTCCTCATACTAAGCATGAGGAAACTTGCTCCACTTTTGTTTCACTCAAAATCTGAATGGCAACTTCTTTCCCACTTAAGATGAGCTTCACCTGGCTCAAGATTATTTGTGAAAACCAAAATTCCACCAGTAGACTCAAATTTTAAAAAAGCTACAGTAAAAAATGCTTTACGTTGATAAATGAAATCCTATAAAAAACTTGTTTTCATTAACTCCTCCCTGTTACTGTTTAAGAAAGTCTTACATACAGCTAAAAAGGTCCATCTTTTAGTAAACGAACCAATTATACATTTGCATCATCAAACATGTTGCGCATACAGCAATGCTTGTTTAGAGAAGTATGCCGAGGTCTGGTATACCTATAACAGGGTGTGTCTACATGAGATACTAACCGTGCAGTAGCCTACTAATACTGTGCAATAGCGTGCCGGACAATTCCTGTGCTATTACGCTACTGCACCGTAGTATTAGGCTACTGCGCACTTAGCTTCTGTAAAAATCCGTGCGCCAGCACCACTGAGCAGTAGCGCCAGTTGCTGTGCACTGATTTAATACTTGGTTATGCAAGCACTAAACTTAATGCACAGTAACTACAATGCATTAATAAACACGTAGATGCACCCACATTTATTAAACCCTAATAGGTTCTGTGAACGACAAAGCTCAAAGTTAAAATAAGGCATGTGCTAATAATTAGGCCTGTGCGAAGCGGCTACTATTCACTTCAGATTCAGATTTGGCCGATTCAGGGGACAGCGATTCAATTTGGTGGTTCAAATCACTGTCCCAAATCAATCTGTCCAAATCCGATTCGGAGATTTGGCCGCCGCCAAAGAGCACGAATCTCCAAATCAAACAGACCCCAGCCCCCGCCCACTCTCCCAGTCCTGTCAATGGCTGCCCCACTCAGCACCAGCGTCCTGGCACTAAAAAAAAAAAAGAGAAGCCCTACATTCACCGGTTCCTGCCAGGTGGCGGGGGTGGGGAGCAGGCAGGAGATGGGGTCTGGCAGGGGTCCCCCCATGGTCCCCTCCCTCTCCTCCACCCGTCCTCCCGTCCCAGCCCAGCACGAAGCCTAGGTCCAGCTCCCTGCAGCAGTGAGTGCGAACTGCCCAAACCTCCGAATCTTTTTCAAATCTATTCGGAAGCTTCAAATCGATTTGGACCTTTTAACTAGTCTCCCGATTAGATTTGGATTCAGAGATTCGGCCGCCAAATCGAGCCAAATCTCCTCCAAATCGAATCAGCAACTGAAGCTTCGCACAGCCCCACTGACAATATGCAACTTTCAAGTTACAGTATGGTAACTTTTTCATGAGCTCTTATTTCAGATTGTACCCAAGACAGTTGAAAAGAAACTAACAGCATGAAGGAAAGTCAGAACAAAACTCTCTCAAAAGTCACCTCATGGCACAAAACAGCTTTTTGTGTCCCAAGGATGCAACTTTTCAGATTCTCTATAAAAAAACATGGCTATAATTTGAATGCCGATTACTGTACTCACCTGTTATTATAATGGCTCAAGAGTCAAAATGTAAGCCTCAGAAAGCTATTAAGGACTACCAATAATTTTTATGAAAGTTTTTGATAAACTCAATGGAGTACTGGCTTGAAAAATTATCAAGTTTAATACCCAATCCCTGTCCAGCAAAATTTAGTAGCAGAAACAGGAAACTCTGAGAGACAACCCGTGTGTACCTTAACCAGGGGTTCGTGATATTTTAAGAATGGTGGGCTAAAATAATCCAAGTGGGTCCAAGGCAGGCCACCGCTTGCAATCCAGCCGCTGCTGTTACTCTTCCCTCACTACTCACTATCCCCGCCACTGAATTTCTACCAGTATACTTGCAACGTGCCACAAAATGCCAGTGAATTGTCAGCAACATCCTAGCTCCACGAGCCAGATTTATTTAAAAAAAATAAGAAGTTGTGGATGGGCTGGATTAAGCCCATGAGCCATAGTTTGCTGACCCCTTATCTTAACTATAAGTACGATGAGTATGAATTAATCCAGACTGGTGAACCAGAACAGGAGGAGAAAAAATAGAACAGCATCTTCTGGGAGGAAAAAGAACAAACCGTTCCTAGTCTTGGATTAAAAAATCTAGTCTTAATTTTAAAAACAAATACATAATTAAAGATGTCCTAACGGTGTGCCTCTACATATACCACAGCACATCAGATCAGTGTAAAACATGAATGCTTAGAATGATTTGGGGGAACCAAGTGTCCAAAACACACAATATTTGAATGCAATTTCAATCCAGAAGTGTGAATAATTCAGTGTGTACACATTTTGAAATAACCAAACATCACTGCTCAAAACTGCTTAGAATTCAATAAACCATAAAAGTTTACCTCGAGTCTCATAACAACATACCTATTCCTGAATTTGCTCCAGTGACGATGACCACTTTTCCACTCAAATCACAACCCTGAAGTATCTCCATTGCAGTACTGTTTCCATCATATTTCTGTCTAGTTGTAGGTTTGACTGGATTCTCTTCCACTGTAAACGCCAGTCTCGGGTCAAGGTACGTGGTCCTTTTGTTTATATGGCTGGAAAAGAAACAAAACATTTCAAACTAATTTCTGCTGTATCCGTATTCTTCCGAAAGATTGCAAACACAGGGAAAAGGACTGAGAAGGAAAAAAGTTTCAAGTTGACGTTGTAAAACATCCTCGAAACTGAAATGTTGTGTTTCAGTGCTTCTAAATGATCCTGAAATGCTTCACAATGAGGAAGACCAACATTAAACTACACATTGCCATGTTGTTCTACATTGTCTCATGGGACTCATAGTTCAGGTGCATGGTGCCCTCATTCTCCTCTATGGACCAGGCTCCCTTGGTGGATAGCACATCCCATGATGCACCAGGAAGAGCTGAGTCAGAGTAAAACTGATGAAAGATGTAGACCTCTAAGGAGCTTGGCTCACAAGAAAGACCGGAGTTTGAATTACAACTCCCAAAACATAATGCATCAATAGCAGGGTGGATAAAAATCAACAATTAAAAAAAAAAAAAAGATCTTTTTTATTTAAATCAGATTTTTTTGATTTAATCACATTTTGTGTCAAGATGCGTTTTTAAAAAAGATAAATTTATTTTAAATTAAAACTACCTTTATATATGTTAAAGCTCAATGATATCATCATGAAATACGGATTATAACTTCTAATTATACACTATTTGAGACAATATATTCATGTAACCTTTTTAGAAGTTTTACAAATAGGTCACAACAGGCCATGGACTATATTAGGGGTCCAATCTTATGGGGTTCCCAGAGGCTCCTCTATAGATTCATAAAGATTAAAGAAAACCAATGGGACTCAGTGCTCAGTTTTGAAGATCCCATTAAGAATCTCTGCAACGCTTAGTTTCAGTTCTCAAACTGTGGATTTGTCTCCAAAAATCATCGGCAGACAAGGTTCGTTGGGTAGATGTGATATCTTTTATTAGACCAACTAAATAGTTGGAAAAAAAATTCTTTGCACGCTTTTGGGCACAAATGCCCTTCTTCAGGCATAGGGAGAGCTTGTCGTCTCCAGCAATAACATCCTTGTTCACAGCAGTATATGGAGATGAGAAATAACAGACCTGATTACCCATCCATCAGCCCTATCGTCTCTCTGCAAGTTTGTGTACACAGCAAGAATGCACTTTTTGTAGAAAACTGCTAAATCAAAGCTTCATGACCAGTGATTTAAATCGATTTCATTTCAATCAAATACACCCTGACCAATAGGGAAATGCAGTTAATGTCTTATAAAACTTATCCAAAACCAAGAGTTTTGAGCCAGAATTTTCTTTTGTTGAACTATCTAGAGTCCATTCAACCCAAATTATTTCTTTCAGCTTTTCTCAACAGAAAATCTGTGAATACTCCAATAGAAAACACAACTTCCCCCAATCACTTCTATGTACCAGTAACCGCTGCTCACACAAATGAATGTCTCAGGTCATAGATTTTACATTCTACCATTCAGAGTGTAAATATTCTTCCCCCTCAGCTGACTGCCTCCCTTCTCCTTCCTACCAATGCCTTTACTGTGCAAGGCCCATTATTCCTTGTGATCTTTCTTTCCTCTCCCTTTCGGTGCCCTGCTTTCCTTTCCATGCTTCTGTGAACTTACCCCTTCTGCCATTTCATCTTGCTCAAGCTTTCTTTTTGTCTTTTTGATTGTAATCAGTTCCAGGTAGGGACAGTCAATTCTGTTTTTGTACAGCCTCCAATACATTTTGAGAACTATCATAGTATTAACCACCAACCAGGAAAGCTTAGCCCTCCTTATAATATCAGATATGCACGCTCAATGTATGACAGACTTCAACTTACAAAAACTGATCCATACGACTGTCTTTTTAAGTAGTAAGCACTAAAATTTCTGTTGTTCTTAAAGACGCTGAACTGTTAAAAGATGTGACCACATTTTGTGTAAGCAATTACAAGCTAGATAACAAAGAAGAAAAAATAATTCTTAACTATGTGATCTGTTTGTATACAAGTTTATTTGTGATCTCGGTATACAGGAGATACATTTTGTTTTCATCTAAATTTCCTTAGTTGATGTTACCAAAAATTTGTTTCTATATTCTTTCCTGGTTAGTTGCAGGCAGGCACTAGAAATCTATTGCTTCCAACTAACACATAACTGTCCTCTTAGAAGTGACGATTAATTCTTCGTGACAGCATGTAGTGCTCTTCTGTTTAAACAAAGGACTTTGAAAAATATAAATGTGGTGGAAGTTTAGATTGTATTACTTCCTTAAAAGTTGTATTTAACTATAAAGTCTCAGTTTACTGGTTTCTGTGTATATTTAACTAAAAACATTGTAAAGCGCTGTAGCTTAGTAAGACAATACATCAGGGGTCAGCAAGCCCCAGCACATGTGCCAGAACATGACATGTGAAGTCATTTTGCTTGGCATGCCACAGCTGGCCCTGGCTCTGGGCAAGCCCCTGCCACCCACCATGGAGCCCAGGCTGCTCGGAGCAGGCAGTCACAAGCCTGCAAGCAGCTGCACCAGGGTCCAGAACCCCGGCCCAGCTTGCCGCTGCCTGCATGTGCGCCCCAATGAGCACAGCGGGGAAAGGGTAAGGGCTGTGCTGCCACAACAAGGCTCAGGGCCCTCACGGCTCCCCTGCCACCTGCACAGCACACCAACATCTTCCAAGTCAATATTGCGGGGTTTTTGACACTCGGCCCAAAAACGTTGCCAACCCCTGCAATAGATCTTTATGCCATGGCCCCCTTCTGTTCATTCATTTTCCTTATTTTATATACTTACTCCACAAAGTAGACTTGGCCATTTTCATCCGTTTCCTGCTCCCATCCATATGGCAGATCTAGAACGTCACCACAGAAAACATTACATTTATACAGCAGTTGAGAGTTGGGTCATATGTAGAATACCCTGGTTTAGTTTGCATTCACCTGACCAAGATCTCTGCTGGTAAATAAACTGAGAAAGCGCTTGTAAAAAAGAGATTTTGTTTTCTCCTACACCAGTACTCAGCTCAGATAAAAGGGAGGAAGCTGTCACGCTCTCTGCTTCCGAGACAAGCAACAAATACGGGAAAATGGAAACAGCATTGGCAAAAGACTCACCTATCCCAAGGGAACTCTCTGCTGGGGAATTCCAGGTGGACTACAGTCCATTTGCACCAATCAAATGGAACAGGGGTGTCATAATACCATAACCTTGCCTTGAGTCCACATCCATTTTGAGCCAGTGCAAGCAGAAAGCCCCCACACTGCTAGTAATACTTTGGCCTTCGTAAGCTACAGTCCTGCAGGTCAATCCACATGTACAGCATACACGCGAAGCCCTACAGCAATCATCCACGTTTGCCAACATGATTTAGTTTACCACACTGGGACCACATCTGTATAAAACAGCCCCATAAACCCACACTCATTTCAATCATCTGTTACAACTTACAAAAACCTAACACAAACCTCCTGCAACTCGTTTCCTTTTGCCTGATTTAGGATGCTCCCATTGGGTTTTCTCTTCCAGATGACTAAAAAAAATAAAGAGAAAAAAAACAATTAAACAATAGCTTGATGATGCATTAACTTTCGAATACAACATCTCTGCAGAGTTCCTGCAGCAATGTGATTTGGCAGTTATCTGTGGTATAAACCTGTTGAGTAAAAGAAACTCAGTCCCTTAGCAAGCTGCTAATATCCCTAAAAATAAGTTTCCCTAAAACTAAGTACTCCTTAAAATAAGTTTCACAAGTGCAGCCTATCATAACTGGATTCTGCAGTGCCAGTCTTTTAAGCAAAACCTAGCTGGACAGATTAACAGACTAAAAGGCTCTCCTATTCAAACCTGAGTTTGAATCCTAATCCAAGGATGGCATCTCATTTCTCAGAGATATTTACTTGCAAACATAAGAGAGTGAGGAATACTTTGGCATGGGCCAGCAAATGGCACATTTCTCAATAACTGGTTCATGCAAGATGGCTGCATTCCTAGCATCTAAAGTAGGTCATTGCCTACAGAAGCTCTTTTCTCTCTGAAGCACTCAGTCTCTAAGGTGCCACTGTGCCCAACCTTCTGCCATCTTTGGCCGTGCACAACTAACCAACCACCTCCGTGCTTCCACAAACTGGTTTAACCATATTATGAAACATCCCACACTGGACAAAGAACAAGCCCAGTGGCAAAAAAGTTATTACGTCATCTCATCTTTCATTTTAAAGAAAGAACAAGTACATTTCTAGCTCCTGAGTCTGGGATGAGAAAGCTTAAAAATGCTTTTCGAGTGTAACCCTTGCAGCAACATCTGGCTGAGTCTGTGGGTGGCCTGAACAATACGTCACACTTATTGCAGTGGGTCTACCATTACTTAGTGGTTTCCTAGTATTTAAAGACATATTAATAAATGATCAGCAAAAATTAGGCTCACAGAAATCAATGGGAGTAAAGGAAAACCTGGTGTAGCATGAATCATTTAGTAACTGGAGAAAAGTGTAAGTGGACAAGCAGGAAACATCTTGTTCAATGTTGCTAGGGCAAAACCTGGGAGGAGGGAAGACCTCTGACCATGGGCAAGACAAGTCAATGTCACTAACCTCCTTCAAGTTGAAGCAAAGGTAGGACTACGATCAACCAGACTTAACAAAGATCAACTCCAACTGCCCAGGTAAAGCAACGTTAAGAGATGGCCCAGAAAATTCAGCTGCTCATAAAAAATGCCTCTCAGAATGTCCTCTCCTGCAAAACACCCATACTCTGCCTAAGGCTAATAAGGTTTATGCCTGCTTAAAAGCCTGTTGTGGCAGTTGTGGGACTTGGCCAAACTTGTAGCATACTAAACCAACTAGAGTAAGTGACACCCCCGCGCGATGCTTCCAAAATGTGCCCCTAAGTTATTGTCCGTGGTCCTGCTCCACTGCGACCTGGGAGGAAATTGAGAGCACCATGATTGCCAGCACGAGACAATACCGCCTGTGCATGTATGTGTGACTGCATCCCCAAATGTCTGAAAGCCATATCTCTGGCCCCAAAGTATAGTCATCCTAAAGTATCTCCCTGTCATAACTCTACTTTGTGGAAATAAGTCACAACCCCTTCATGACAGCCGTCTCATCTCTCACGTAGCAGGTCACAGACTAGTGCTGCACCCAAGGGCTCGGCACCTGTTCACATGTGCACATAAAACAGAGTTGGCTCTATTTGTCCCCTGCTTCATTTTAATATCCAAGTACAGCCCACAATGACCGGGAACAAATCAACACTCCCAGAAGCATCACATAGATGAACTGAGCCCCAGGCTGCCAATGCACGACAGGCCAGACAACAACCTGCACTTACAGCGGCGCATGTACCACACATGGCCCCAGCAGGGTATAAAGTCACCTCATCGGCAAATCCAGGGCAGCAGGGCTACGTGGGGTGAGGAGAACCCCAAAAGACACATCTGCACATCCGCGTACGTGGCACACACAGTGTGTGTGTGTATGCAATGTTGGGTGTATGCATGTATGCAGGTGCATGCGTGCACAGGTGCATGCACATGGGGGCATATGAAGGTGCATGCTTGCAGAGTTGTATGCACACATACACGTGTGTGTGAATGTGCATGCTTACAGCATTGCGTGCGTCCATATGCACGTGTGCGTGTGAACGTGCATGCTCCCAGTGTTGTCTGCGTGCACGTGAATGTGCATGTAGCATAGTGTGCATGCATGTGCGTGTGTCTGAATGTGCATTCCTGTAAATGTGCTTGCTTGCTGCATAGTGTGCATGCATGTGGGTGCATGTGAATGTGCATGCTTGCAGTGGTGGGTGGGTGGGTGTGTGAATGTGCATGCAGCATAGTGTGCATGCATGTGGGTGCGTGGGAACATGCATGCATGTGAATGCACGTGCTTGCAGCATGGTGTGCGTGCATTTGGGCGAATGTGAATGTGCATGCTTGCAGCAGTGCGTACACGCATGTTAATATGCATGTTTGTGGTGGTGTGGGTGGGTGTGAATGGGCATGCCTGTACCATTGTATGCATCCATTGGGGGGAGGGGGTGAATGTGCGTGCTTCCACCATTGTGTGCGTGCATGTGGGTGCATGCGTGCAGTGATGTGCATGCATGTGGGTGCATGTGAATGTGCATGCTTGCTGAATAGTGTGTGTGCATGTGAATGTGCACACTTGCAGTGGTGTGTGCATGCACATGTGCGTGTGAATGCGCGTGCAGCATGGTGTGCATGCATGTGAACGTGCGTGCATGTACGCAGGTGTGCAGGCGGGGGCGGGCCGGGGCGGGGCGCGGCTCTCAGCCCAGGCCCCGCGCGGTGCGGTGCGGCTCCCCTGCCCCTCGGGCCCGGGGGAAGG